TGACTCCACCAAGCTTCATGTTAGCTTCTAGAGGATGCATAGTGGACAGCTGATAAGCCACATTCTCGAGCCACGCATGAGTGGCCTCAATGAGCCTGGACATCTCCGCGAGCTTCCATCGTATGACCTGATGCTGGATAAGAGGCCTACCAAAGGTCTTGCGGCGATGGGCGTGCTTAAGAGCCTCTTCGTAGCATACACGAGCAAACCTGTTCGTCTGGGCGCACAGGGCAAAGCGTTCGTGGTTGAAGTTGTGCATGATGCATTTGAAGCCCTTATTCTCCTTACCAATGAGGTTCTCGATGGGGACTTTGACATCATCAAAGGAGATGAAAGTGGTGCCAGAGGACCAAACACCTGAGCATTTCATCCTTCTAGTGGTGACACCAGGCATGGTCTTCTCGATGAGTAGTAGACTGATACCGTCCATACCGGGGCCTCCAGTGCGGACAGCCACCGTAAAGTAGTCAGCCCAAATACCGTTGGTGATCCACTTCTTCTCACCATTGACGATGTAGTACTTCCCACAAGAGGACTTCTTAGCGCTGCATCGGATATTGGCAACATCAGAGCCAGCAGTCGGCTCGGTGATGGCCAGGCAGATGATCTTCTCACCAGACAGACACTCCGGCACGATGCGGTCCCTCATAGCCTTTGGGCCAAACCTCAACACAGGGGGAAGGCCGATGGTCAAGCCGCCGACCAGACCCCAAGCCACGCCACCACTTCCACATCGGCACAGCTCATCGGAGACAATAAGCTCATGAAAGACGTCAATCTTGACACCGTCGAGAAACTTGGGGATGCTGCCATACTGAACGGGGTAAGGATGGCCCATCGCTAACGACGTGAGGCCGAGCGCGCCCATACGACGGTGCACCTGAGGCAAACTCGACTGACTAAAACGGTGAGAGAATCACGCCGCGCTTACCTCCCGAGGAATCTCCAGATTTTCGTCCCACTCGAAAACGTGAGGCAAGACCTCCTTCTCAAAAAGGTCCCTAACGTACTCACGGAGCTTCTTGTGACTCTCGTTGTAGAAAGGACTATTTCCGGCTTGATACCAATACGGATCACCAAAGGCATTCGCATCACCGAAGACATCAGTGTTGACGCCCATACTGCGAGCCATCGCCATTTGCTTCTTGTTCGCAGCGTTCTCCTGCTCCGCCTGACGAAAATAAGGGATAACCAAACGACCGAGATCAAGCCCGTATATTCAGCTACGTGGTAATTATTATAAGACTAACTACCACCGAAGTATGCGAGAAAGATTCTTCTCACAACAAGAGAATCAGGAAACTGTCCCTACCTGTTCAACGAGGACCTTGGCCATCTCGGCCAACTTGGACATCTGTTTAACGCCGAGGTCCAGCATGATCTCCTCACTGCCACCAGGTACCGCCATAGCCCTTACCTCACGGTTTAACCTCTCGACCTTCTCACCGACACCTCCTCTAGAATACGACAACCCACCAAAGATCTGGGCCGACTCTCTGGCACAGTACTCGAACACCTTAGTGCATTGAACCTTCAACAGGGCAGTGACTCCGCCAAGCTTCATGTTAGCTTCTAGGGGATGCATCGTCCCCACTTGATAGGCGACTTGCTCTACCCAGGCGTGAGTGGCTTCTATCTGCCGAGCCATCTCGCCGAGCTTGAACCGAATGACGGGATGCTGGACCAGATTCTTGCCGAAGGTCTTGCGCTTGTTGGCATGCTTGAGGGCTTCCTCGTAGCACACTCGAGCGAAGCGGTTGGTGAGAGCGCACAGCGCAAGGCGTTCGTGGTTGAAGTTGTGCATGATGCATTTAAAGCCCTTATTCTCCTTACCGATGAGGTTCTCGATGGGGACTTTGACATCATCAAAGGAGATGAAAGTGGTGCCAGAGGACCAAACACCTGAGCATTTCATCCTTCTAGTGGTGACACCAGGCATGGTCTTCTCGATGAGTAGTAGACTGATACCGTCCATACCGGGGCCTCCAGTGCGGACAGCCACCGTAAAGTAGTCAGCCCAAATACCGTTGGTGATCCACTTCTTCTCACCATTGACGATGTAGTACTTCCCACAAGAGGACTTCTTAGCGCTGCATCGGATATTGGCAACATCAGAGCCAGCAGTCGGCTCGGTGATGGCCAGGCAGATGATCTTCTCACCAGACAGACACTCCGGCACGATGCGGTCCCTCATAGCCTTTGGGCCAAACCTCAACACAGGGGGAAGGCCGATGGTCAAACCGCCGACCAGACCCCAGGCCAGTCCACCGCTACCAGCACGTGCGAGCTCATCGCTGAGGACCAACTCA